AGACCATCTTATGCGGCCGCATCAGCTGCGAGGGTCTGGAGGGGCGTCTCAATGAGAACTCCATGCTGTCGCGCGCGGCCTGCTTTGACGACGAAGAACGAAGCGCTGTGGCGTTGGGCGTTTGGTCACGCATGGTTACGCTCTCACCTCAAAGGGCTCGGACTTGCCAAGAGCTTGCGACAAAAAACCGAGCCGAAAGTGTCCCTTAGAGCAGTGGAATCTCCACCGAAGGGGAGTATCCTTGGATGCTCTAGACATCTCTAGGCTCTATAGGCCGTTTTGGCATTTCTTGGGCTTCAGGCTACCTGGTTCTCAAGAATGTTGGAGCACTGATGTCGGTCGTTGAGTCGTTCCCATGAATTGAACATCAGCTTGCAAATCGTTTCCCTGGTTCGCCTCAACCTGTTTTCTTATTTTTTCTTGGATTGGGACTCCAACCAAAAGAACCTCATTGCACTAGGTGAAGGGGATAGATTGCAGTAGCTCGCATGCAAGGAAGTGAGTATCAATGAGTATCAGTATCCCACTTCCTTCCCCGAACTTGCTTCCTCCGACTCCTGCGGGGTGGCCAGGCCGTACAACCCAACCGCCGCCCTGGCCGCCCCAACCGCTTCGGAACAAGCTTCCACGTCGCTGCCGTTCGGCTCGTCGAGCGCCACGCGCCAGGCTTGAAGGTTCCACCCTGGCCGGAGGAGCGAAGGCGAAGTCCGGGAGTCCCATGGGTCTCCCGAAATCAGGACGACGACCAGACGTCGTCAGTTCCGTCCTTGGGACAGGAAGGAACTGTGGAGTTCCTGGTGGAACTCATTTGCAAACTCAAAGCTGCAAGACTAGAATTTGGATGAATTTTGTACGTTATGCGAGGATTGGGTGACTTGCAGTAGTCAGCCTCTTGACTCTTGCCGGTCTGAGATTGGAATGCGTCCCTCAGCTACTCCAGATACCCCACTTGCACCAGCCAGAGATAGGCATAGGATCTTCCGAATGGTGTGGATTGAAGTTGGGGGTTAGTCCCAAACCCTGCTCAATCAACCCCACTGTGGCCTTCTCAATCTGCATTTGTTTGACAGGAAAATTAAGACATCGATCAATGTTGAAACCCTTGCTTTGTGGACATCCCAGATTTCGTGCGGTGCTGCAAGCTTTCTGGAGAGAAAAGGAAAGAAATAAGAAGGATGCCAAAGGTCGAGGAAAACCATGCTAAACCACGTGACTCTGCGTGGTGTGTTCAATGAGGGGAGACATCACCAAATGAGCAACCACTTTTATTTGGTCTTGACTACAGTAGTCCACGGCATGCTCTAATTGTTTGTCCAACACAAGTATTCGCTGGTGAACGAGATAGGATCCCCACATTGATATACCTTTTTAATGACGCTAAAGTAGTGTGAACGAGATACTGTGACATGTAGACCATGTATATAGGGCTCCCACATAGTGGACAGTTTGTTTGAGTTCAGTAATGAACAAATAATAACAAATAAATGCCGTTCAAATATACAGATAGATACAGATTGTTTGAATGAGTACGTGTGAGTATCACTTCAGAATGACAATTTGATTATAGTTGTTGTGTATTGCTCGTCATGCATGTGCGGGTGCGTCTTTACACGGGGGAATTAGTGATCCTAGCTTGACAGATTTGACTGTCACCTGTCACCAGGGTTGGGATCCGGATATCCCTCACTCAGAGACACATGAGTGATCATGGGTGTGTATATTTAAATAGGGAGACGGGAGACAATTGAACTAAGGGGTTGGGTTTTGGGTCTATTTTCCGAACCTTCCAGGACCTTCCAGGCAGTCGAACTGGGAGGTGTTCTCTTTTTAGTTTCTTTTTATATAACTCACATACCAGGACCCTCCAAGGGGTGCCCAATGGAAGCCTATAGGTAGTGTGAGGTAGTCCATTGGACACCCCTTGGGGGGTCCAGGTACAGGATCTCTCATGCGCAGTCAGTGACCCCCAAATCTGAAGCGGCCGAAGACAGCGCCATTCGTTCGGGGGTCGTCTAGCGTTCTTGTTGGCAACTGGATGCTCTTGGTGTCTTTTGTTTGGTTCGGTCGGTGTACTTTTAGTTCATACACCGATTTCATTAAAGTCAGCGCAAAAGAAGAACTCGCGGGGACATGAGACACGTGGTCTTTCACTGCCAGTTTTGTGAATCTCAGGGTGGGTCCTGTACGCTCTTGTGTTCGTCTTTTGTTACACATGAACTGCCCCGCAGAGGTGCAATTGAATGTCGCCAACTGCCAGCAAGTTGCTGCCTTCCCTGGGCAGATTGTGCGAACCTGAGGGACCCCCGAGGGACCCCCGAGGAGGGACCCGAGCGAACCTGATGGTGATGGACCACAGAATCCATGGTCTGGTTTAGCGAAGCCAGTGAACCTTCCTGGTCCATCGATTGCGGGGTCAGACGTATCCTGTGCAGATCGCCAAAGTGGATGAAACACAAAAAGCACGGCAAACTTCATAGCAAAGAATAGCATAAAGATAGATATAGCACACCTCTTCATAGCGGTTTTCACTGGTGTTTGTTTTCACACATGGCCGCTCAGCGGTCCGCTACGCGGCGCTTCGCGGTCCGCTTCCCGCTTCCCGAACCTGAGTGTACGGAGCCATACGGATCCAAGACATAGCAAGAGGCTACCGTTCGAAAACGATGCCCTTGGTTACGTTCGGTCGCTTCTTGCTACTAGTAGTCATGCCAGGGAGCTAGGGGGTTCTGATGCGTTTTGACTTGCTTGGTTCTCTCGAAACAGGGGGGTTCAATGGTTTCAATTGGTCAGACCATTTGGTGACCATGTCCACGAAGCAGGTGGGCGTGATCGGCCAGAGTGGCATGGCAGGAAGCACGTTTCATGCCAAAGAGTTCCTTCCAGGCACCGCGGTTGAAGGAGTTCATGCCGTTGGGAGGGCGGTTTCAAGGGGTTCATGTGGAGATTCCCCACAGTGTTATCACTGGCACTGGATTCTGATGCATCATGAGAATAGATTTGCGGGTTTCAGAGGTACCAGTGTTTGCGCAATCTTGTCGCACGGGAAATGTAGCGCGCCCGTGGACGGCTAGTTGTGGTCACTTGCTCAGTAGGCTGGATTCGAAACTACAAAGCTCAGCCGGGTGAGACCTTCCTGGCCTGGCTCAAAGAGTGGGCAGAAGGGTCTCATCATGGGTCATGGGTGGCTATAAAGTCGGTTGGACTGTTCTCACTGGACTATTTTTGTACTTGCTCCTGGTGTGGCTGTCACCCTTGGAATGAGGCATTTTTGGAGCTGTCCACAGTTTGAAGGCCCTCATCAAGAAGAATAGCCCCAACAACACCAGCCAGGACATCACCAAAGAACGGTGTTGAAGAACTTCACGTCCTTCCCCCTTCCCCCACTGGCCAGACATTGGCCAGGTTTACCTCAGGAAGCACAACCACTTGGTGAGCGATCTTCTCTGCACGCGCTGGCTGTGTCGGGACCGTGCAAAGCTCAGATGAAGATGACCTGGACCATCCTGTTTGGGTGTCCATCCAGGAGCCAACTGCTGGAGGATGGTCCAGGGAGGTGACCAAGACAGGATGGTCCTGTGACCCAGACAGGATGGTCCTGGGATAAGCCACTATCATGTTATGCCGCCCTGTGGTTTCCCACTCGTTCTTGTGATTCAAAAGGGCAAGACTCGACTTGCTGGCATTGGTGTTTCAAGACATGGCGATGCTGTGCTTCGGTCAGGGATAGATGATCGATGGTTTTGCGCTGATGACATGTTTTGCTGAGTGTAGGATAGTGTAGGTGTAGGAAGGACTGCCATGAGAAGTGTATGATAGGTGTAGGAGATAGGTCGGCTGGTGAGGGAATCATGCCGCCCATACTTGGTGACTGCCGGGTGTCGAAGACTCGAAGACTCTCGGCTCTCTCAGCGAACGGTGTCGAAGACTCAATCTCCATGTCCGAACGCCGCAGACCCGGACCCGGCGCACCTGTTTCTCTTTTCGCAGTCACAACGCCTGTAATGACCCCTCCGTCCTACACCCCAACCTACTGTATCTCGGCCTTCGGAGTCTGGAGTATATATACAGCCCAAAGTCCACACCCAATCAGGGTGTTCCAAGAACCCAATCAGTGGATGACCTGATCCCCATCCTTCTGGGGATGGGGAAATCCTCACTCAACCAATTCACTTTTCAGCGGACCTCGCACCAAGGCACAGCTAGGCACCCTCCCCAGGTCTCACCAACGTACGAGACACGTGGAAGTGGACCAGCTGCCTTTTTGTGGACTTCTTTCTTCCTATGGCAGCCGTGCCATCCAGTTCCATAGATTGTGTTCGGTTTTTTTCCTCTTCCCAATCTCTCCGTGTCTAGGTTCAGCAAGAAGGATGTGCTGGACTTCTCAGCTTTAGAGAGCGTCCTCGCCGAAGTGGCCTCTGCCAGAGAGCGGCCTGAGGTAGGAGGGATTTGAAGCCGCCATTTGCAGTGCCAGTTGAGCACACCTGCCCACCACGACAGATATGGCACTGTATAGTAAGATTGACACTAGTTAGTCCCGACTTGTTTGTGGGTCTGCCCGTAAGCCGTGCAGGGCCTGTATGGCACTGAAGCTGTTCGAAGTCCTAGGCATATGCACATCGTTTCGCTCCGTTGGGCAACCTTCAGTAGAGGAGCAGAAGTGCACTGAGAATGCTAAGAATGGCTCAAGGTAGGGCGATGAAAAAAAAGCACATGAATAGACCCGCCTGGACCTGGACACAACCGTGCGAGTGGTCATCATGGGAACTGAGTAATGGGTACTTTAAGCGTTCACTTGTTGGTACCGTCTGATTCTCCCATCTCATGGTGCCATCCAACAAAAAGAAATGCGAAAAAGACAAATCTGACATGAGAAGTTTTCAAACCAAGCTCAACACCGCACAGCATTGGTGGTGTCATGCCTTGGTGTCCCACGCTGTGTAACAGACTGAGCGACATCATGGCCCCGGCCCGATGACAGCGCACTCACAGCAGCTGCCGCGATGGACAGCTTAGGCCGCTTTCTGGGGCGGTCACGCAGACCACAGAACGGAGGAAATCACATGGGCAAGCTTGACTGTACTTTAATTGATCTTTGTTGGACAATATTCTCGAATTTCTTTGCGCGGCAGAGAAGAAGGTCCCGACCGGTTCCGAACGCATGTGTTTGGCACATTTCGCGTGTTTCGCTGCAACTTGATGTACTTTCTTGCAGGGGAGGAGCAGCAGGACTATGATGCTGGCGTTATTCCCGAAGAGACCCGAAATGACTTGCAGGTGGGGGGAGACGGAGCACGGTCCGACCCTCCGGTTTGTTATTGTCTTACCATGTCTTACCTCAAGAAAACGCATATTTTTTTTTGGGGGGGGGGGCATGAACAGGGCTCTCTGCCGGGCAGACTTGTTTAGTGTTGCAAACCTTCATATTGTAATTATACAGTACATATTGTATGTTGATTGATCTATTGATCTACATGTTTTTGGTTCAACGGAAACAGACCCACAAGACAGTTTACCACTTCTGACATTGATTGAACCTCGGTGGATGTAGGGGTGGAAGGGATTATTTTGGAAGTTGTGCCAAAACCCCAATTTGTTGATTGGACTTGAACAACACACACTCACATTATTGCATTTTTCTTCTGCGGATCATTTTGTGGTGTTTGGTTTCTTCTGGGTTAGCTACCCACCATTATCACAATCGTCAATCATCATCATCATCATCCTCCTCATCGTCATCATCATCATCACCATCATCATCATCATCGACGACGACGACGACAACAACAACAACAGCGTCATCAGCGTCATCATCATCACTACGACCACCACCTCCTTTGTACCCTGACTTATTTTTGACCATTTGGTGATCCTGAGACGCTGGGCTGATTTGGGGTTGATTAGGCCCAGCCAAAGTTGGGATCTCATCATCCAACCCTCCGTGCAGCATGATGCAATATCGACTCCTACTGTGTGGGGACACACACACACAACTTGAAAGTATGCAAACCACTTCCATGCAGATGCGCTTCCCTTAGTAGACAAGTCTGATCAAGTCTGTGTATGCCATGTTCTTGCCATCATGGATCGAGCTGAGAAATCCAGACTCGCCATATCGACGTTCAAGGAAACATCAATCTCCAGCCCATTTGTGTCCCGTGACGCAAACAAAATGGTGGACCCACCAACCTGTGCTCTAGTACACCCATTGATTGCTGCAACAAGTTCATGTTGATCTACACCGAATACATCAAACCACAACACCAGAATACAACAGACCAGCGAAGACGCGCGACCATCTTCCTCTTCCTCTTGACCGAGCTGGGCGTCGGCCCTTCGGACGGCTCACGGCGCGCCAGGCGGAGGCGAAGCCCCGCAATGCGCCCTCCGAGCGGAAGTCCTTGGCGCAACGGCGGCACCTCTTCCAATCGCAGCACAACCAGGCAACCGAGGGCGACGGAGGACGAGGGAGTGGAGGACCTGGGTGGAAGAGGCGGTTGAAGATCGCGGCCAGGCAGAGAGTTTGAGTTTGGAGTTTGGGGTGAATGATGGTGAATGGCTTTGTGGTTTCACGTTTGAGTCTATTGTAGGAGTTGTTGGTGGCCTTGGTGTTGCTATTATGGTGCTGGTGGTTGTCGTCGTCGTCGTTGTCGTCGTCAGTGTTCTAGTCCACCTTAGTTGCATGGAGTCATGCATAAACATGTTTGCAATTAGGTTTCATTTGATTTGCGCGTAATGCTGGACTTGTCCTGAAGAGAGAGAGAGAGAGAGTATGTCAATATGGTTCAATATTTGGTAGTCCAAGAAAACGATGCAGCAGCCGTCCCTTTTGTCCTTGATCCTTGGATGTCCTGCTATTCTATTCAATTTAATCAGCGTGAGTTTTCGACTTTTCGTTGTTTTTTTGAATGTCATGTTTCTTATATTATTTCATGTTGCACAAAGACCTGGGCCGGAAGAGATCTTCCCCGCTAATAATACTTCAAGTTCATGCACGCATGTGTCCAGTGCTTTGTCCCTGAATGTTTTTGTTTTGTTTTTTGTATGTGTTTTTGTCGAATCTTGAAATCAGGTTTGATTCTGTCAGAGCCTCCAGATTCCTGATCGTTTATCCTGGAAAGTGTTCCAAGAAGTCACGAGCTCAGTGGCAGGTATGAAGTTTTTTCATTGAGAACTGAACTCATATTGGACATGAGTGAGCACCGTCATTGGATGAAGCTTGTAAGAAGAAAGCTAAGGATCATTTGATTGCCTCATGGAGCCACTAATACTGTACGTACAGTAGAACTTCATTGATCAACGTATCTATGTTTTCTGTACCATGTTGAACTGATACTTTTTACAGTAGTATCTATTTATCAAACTACTATGTTGTTTCTATCTATTTATCAACATATTGCTGTACTAGGTTTGGACATAATTGTGTTGAACACCTGAACACATGGGATTGGCCATAATTTTATTGGCAACACATGGGCAAACTTTGTATGTGCGTCATTGTAAAACCCCCATGAACTGATCAGCAGTACACGGGTTCTCCAATTGCTGATGGTGGTGCACGCTTTGACGCAGTGACCGTTCTGCACCCCAAGTTGGTGATTGAAATGAGGCTCTCTTGGTATGTCAAGGACCTTTGCTGCTTTGTTTTCTTTGTGTGTGTATGTGTCACACTTTGTGTAGTCGTTTTCTTAATGCCTCCTTGTCGCAAAACGCTTGAGAGGCTGGAAAAAGTGTTTTGTTGCGGCCTCAGTGGGACGGGCCAGGCGCGAAGTGCGGGGTCGGCCATGCGGAAATGCACCGCACAAACGCGCTAAGATAGACTTGGCACAAGGCATGGATGTGAGAATTGCGATGTTGAAATGGTTGTCATTAAAATGAAGTGCCAGGACCATCCAATGGGTGTCCAATGGAGATGCCTAAGTAGGGTAGGGTTTTGTTTGTTGGACACATGGATCTTCGCTGGTTTGTAGAGTATGTTGGGTCGAGAGAGAGAGAGAGAGAGCGCAAGAGCGAGAGAGAGAGAAAGAGAGAGAGAGAGAGAGAGACAGAAAACATGACATGTCAATTATCAGAGGATTGGACACAATCTATGTTGTGAGCCGGTCTTTCCCCGGTTCTGTGGTAAACAGGAAGGGGTGCTCATGTGCTGACCATCCCACAAAAAAAAAGCTTCGTAGAAGCATCGATTTGGTCCCTTTCTTTCAGCTCATAAATATGAGGTCACTCTTCAACTTCCAGCACCTCTTGCAGTGGAGAGCCACCAAAGGCGTGCGATTTCGCCGAAAGACACGTGTCCACCATCTCAGAGGGCCGCATCCAGGTGTCTTCAGGGCTGCGGAGTGCTATTTTCTGGACCAAACAGCTTTAGGAAGCGGCAAACACTTCTGAAATCGATCAATCGAGCCGGGCAGCCTATGGTTTTTTTGGGGGGGCATTTCGTTTTGGTCATTCCAACGACCCTGGCAGCCATCCTAGGAGGAGACAATCAATCGAGATCCCACGAGGTGCTAATGCTGTTCGGAGGGTTCACATCCGACACCGTCAAAGCTGCCCACAGCCATCACTTCACAAAACACACACACACACATGTCCCTGATGTTTGCAGTAGGAAACCGTTCAAGACCCCATGTCTTAGGGGTCTACACGTCTAGTATCGGAAGAATCAGAAGACCTGAGGGCCCAGTAGTTGAAGGATGAAGGTCTCGAAACCCGCCCTACGAAATCAGCAGGACATGTGAGATGAAATTGGCAGGTCAAGTCCCTCGCTATTCCGTGGGTGATCTTGAAAGCAAGATCTACGACAATGTGCACCACAAAGAGGAGGCGTCGGCAGTGTCGGGGAGAGAACTTCCGCAGGCAGCTTCTTTTTTCTGTTCCAGGTATGTCCGTTGCACCGAGATGCACATAGTCGTAGCTGATGAGCCGGCTCATCCAGCATGCTGCAATCTTTTGGTTTTGAGACTGCACAGCACTTTGAGCTCAGCCATCTAAATCGACAAATATCAACATATATAGATTATAATGTGATATATAATATACATAAATATATATATATATATATCGTACATTTTATAAATAAAATCATATAAGTTCAGATCATTTAAAGTGCACTGTACATTCACAACATCGTCGCGACTCTCAAGTCTGAAACAGAGCCGAACTCCTGCAGGGCGAGCTCTTGCTTCCACTCAAAATCCTCTCCCGGGACTCCAGCAGTGAGCACCAGCATGCGGGCGTCGACAGCTTGCCGGGTGACGGCTCCAGCCCTGCGGGCGTTCGGGGGCCCAACGGGGCCCCGTTGGGGGCCTTCAGGTGGGATTGAAGAATAGTTCGAGGTTTCTGCATGCAGTTCGATCATGTTCGATATACTCTTTTTGGATTTGAAAGTAAGTGGCCCTGGAATATTGAGTTGAGCCATCTACTGGGCCTTCCTGACAACCGGCGTTGCGCCATCTACTCCCCACATGGATATCAGCCTTAATAACTACTTAATTAGTATAATACAAAAGTTGTTGTGAAATACAATACTTTTACTTCATTTCTCAGTTGAAAATATAGGGTTCGAGTTGTGACTGTAGCAACTATATAGCCTTGGTGCGCATGGTACGACCCTCCCACGAAACTCCTACGGAATCGAGGGACTCGCTTGAGTTGCATGGATATTGATGATACAGGTAGAACACTAGTAGCATTCTTGCTCCTAGTAGAATGCTCCGTTCGTAGCGATGCCAGGAGCCCCTAGTACCTTCTTGTTACTTGAGTAAAGATCAGCTGACAGACCACCCCATGCGATCATAGGACAGGGGAGGGCTGTTTCATCACCCAGATCATCCCTGGAGAAACAAAAGAAACTGCCCAAACACTCCATGGGACGGGTATTGACCCGAACAAGCACCCCCAACCGCGCATCGGTACGAAGTCCATTAGAGCATGTAGTGTGTTTTCAGTAGACCCAGAAGCCGAGAGGTCGCGATCTTGATTTCTGCGTTGTCTCTCAAGTGTTTTTGTTGCTTCTTGTGTTCTTGGAGAGATTGTTCTTGTTGTGTTCTGCTTGTTTCTGGTCGTTTTTTATTTTTCTGGTTGTGTTCAATTGTTAACCCAACGTTGGCAAGCTTGGATCGCTGGGATCTGGATTTCGACACAAAGACTTCGTCCCAGGCAGCCGGTGAGCCCTGCTTGCGCTTCACCGATTGGAAGGCCCTCTTTGCGCACCTCCGCCCGGCAAACGAGATCGCGGCCACCAAGTGCCAGGAAGTCACAGAAGATCTGTAGCATGTAGCATCCACTTCCTTAATGACCCATTGATGCAAGACAAGGTCAAACCACCATTTGGAGGTACACCAAGAATAAGGCGTCTGATCAATCTGTAGACTTGATCAATCCAAGCAGACATGGATGTGCTCAACACCTTCAGGCCCTTCGAGGGGGTCCGCTGAGTCCACCCAACAACCAGGACCCTCCTGTGTTGGGTGTCCTGCTTGCTGTACGTGTGTCGGATGCCGGATAGTCGTGTAGTCCGTTTTTTCACAAGATGACTGGATGGTGGTAGTTGATCCAGCTGGTTGAACCATACTCGCCCACCTTATGGGCCTTGCTCGCCCACCTTAAGGGTATTTTTGTTATTTTTTTTATTCAGGAGTTGTTAATCCTGAGTTTACTTAGGAGTTCTTATTTTCCCCATGGTGAACCTCTTTCTGGCATCTTCTGGAGATTTCTGGAGTATGTTGTTTGCTTTCCGGTTCCTTGAGCAAATCGCATTTGAGGCTGACTATCAGAAGTGACTATCATCAACACCAGGCGACATGTCTGTGTGGTTGTGTTGTTCAAGATTTGCTCCAACAAGAACTGAGAATGAAGAAATTGTCTTCTATTGCAAGGAACAGAAAGATCAACAAATCAATCATAAGACCCACTGGCAGGACGGGACTAGATTTTGACCATGCTCCCCCCTTTGTTTGTACCACACAGTCCTTGGGCTCTTGACCTTTAGGGCCATTTTCCACTTCCATGAATTTCAGAGAGCATACCTTGGTCCATGGCTCTTCGATGTAGATCGATTGCAAACTGGACAGTTAACATCCTAACATCCACTGAATATTGCTCCCCAGTAGGTTTCTATAAAAACCAAGGCCTGGAGAGTAAATAAATTATTCAGTTCCACACAGCCAGCCATCCAAACACCCCATGTGTTCCAGGCCAAGCGGGCGGCACAGGCAGCGTTCCGTTCGATGCGCTTCTACATTGGGGTGTTTGCTGTTTTTTGTTGGCTTTCAGAGGGTCAAAGCCTTGAAAGGGGTTGCTTCAAGAAAGGATAGGAATAGAAGAGATCAATCTTGTTCTCATCTTTTCACCGCTTTAAACAGAAATAGAACACAAGAAGGATCCTCCCTCCAATAATCATGGAAGTTGACGTCCTGGCCTCCTGGAACATGATTTCCACTACCAACAGGGGATTGTCCACAAAAACATTTTGTTTCAGGGAGTGGTCAGGTTTGACTACCCCTTTCCCAAGAGGACCTGGGCCATTCACCCGGAGATTGGTCGTGGCCGAAAGGAAACGGCGAACTCCTCCGCAGCAGGTCTGCTTGTTCGTAGACAGTTTTCTCCTCCTCGCAGGCCTGCTTGTTTGTGGCATTGATCTCTTCCATCATCTCTCCAGTGACCTTCATCTGGGGTGGAAGCTGGGTTGGGGTTCCCGAGCACAGGACTGTGGAACCAGCAATGGCTGATGTCTGTGGATGAAACGCCATGGGATTTGGTGCTTGCTTTGTTCTTTTGGACCAGGACCGTCTTTGGGAGATGGACATGTAATGACGTCATCTATAACTGAAAAAAAACACGTGTAACGTAGCTACCCACTTTGCAGGTGCAAGATGAGGAGCTATGTATATAGCTTCCTCTTCTGATTGTTTTGCAGCTGTTCAAAAGAAAGATTACGATTTTGCGCCAAAGCCGAGGCCAATCCAGATTGGGTGCCTGGCGGAAGGCCTTGACGTGGGCGGCAAAGACGTTGGGAGAACCGGGGAAGATCTTACTTCAAGTCCAAAAGACTTAAAGACTTCCAGTGGAAAGACAAAATCTTTGAAGAAGTTGCGGCATTCTGATGGTTTGAGGTCATTCGCTTGGTCCTTTAGGATGCAACATGATTCACATCTCACCACCCAGGTCGCTTGGTCGCTTCTCCGGGAATGGGAGCCTTTGGATATCGACCAATCCGCCAGGACACTGATGGTGGTCGATTTGCTTTGCGATTTGGGCTACTTGTCATATCAGCTGCTGCAGCTGAAGATGTCCTTCCTGCCGGGCAGCACAGTGAGCAGTGTTTCGCGACCGTGACCGGTCTCGCGGGTAAACGAAGCGTCAAACGTGCGGTCTAAGCGTTGGATGTCGTGGTAGTCAGGGTGGTCGCCATTTTTGAAAGGACACATTTTTTGCGATCCACAGAATACCAAGAGGTTTGGACACTTGCTCAGATGAGCCATGACAGGGAAAGCCAACAAGCTTCAAACAGATCCCATTCGAATCCCACAGCATTTCAATGCTTTTGCCAGTGTTTTTGCCTTATGTTACAAAGCATAATCAATATATATAATGTTTCATTTGTTTTTGAAAGCTGCTATGTACCAGTGCGGATGAAAGTAAGAACCACCCATGGTATGGAGAATAATACTGTAAGAGACGGATCTTCTATGATTTTCCTGCAGCTGCATGCCTGAATGATTTCCATTCGGCGGCTCACTTCCAGCAAGTAAACTGACTTAGACTGTTGACATTTACCAGACCACCCTGATCAGCTCCACGCTTGTCCGTTGTTGGACCATTTCCCAGCCGGGAAGATTCGGGTTTTCTCAAAAAACCATCCATTGCGGACGCGCGTGCAGACACGCGCTGACGAGGCATCCATCGCGGAAGGTGGAAGTGACAGATCCCTACAAGATCCTGCAATACAGGCGCGATGATTTGCCATGTTTTGTCTTCAGGTCGTCATAATAAGTCGAATCGACTGGTGATTTTTCGAGTCTTGCCGAGTTTCTAGTGTCTGAGTGTTTTGGACCCTGGATGGAGCCTGAAGAAAAGTTGGATGGATGCGTATGAAAAGGAGGGTACTTGATGGCAGGCAAGGTACAGTTGAGATGGCTCCTGATCTGTTGGGAGGCTTGAACTGTTTAGTCTACTTACTCGTACAAGCAGCATGAATCCTGAATCTAGGTCCAGTCTTTATGCTTCAAACTTAAGACCTTTGATTATGTAAGTGTCAGATGCGTGAGATATCATTGTGAAGTGGAGGCCTCTCCAGCTTTAGGGGCTTTCTTGGGACTTTGGTCAACTGGGGTTGAACACAATAATTGATATAGTCTTTCAGAAGATGAACAACTTGGAGGATGGATGTGTTGTTTTCTTTGTTTGCACAGATGTTCCAGACCACAGCAAGTCGTTTTTGGTCATGCAGCTTTGCTTAGCCACGACTGGAACCGCACTTTTCATGCTTGCAAAAGAGAAGCCAGCTTCTAAATCACCCTTCTTCGCATCTTCTCCGAAGCGAGCTTCTCCGTCCGCGCAGGATGCGAAGCATCTGGTATTTGGTCAAGGTCTTCAGCGTCCGACACCTTAGCAGCCAATCCGGGCATTTCAGCCAGTCCTTCAGCCAATCCGGATCGGGCATTTCAGGGCTCTTTTCAGACAATGACCGTGTTCGTTGATGGCCCAGTGTTGGCCCAGGAAGTTCATTGTTATTCGGGCCATTCCAAGGAGGACTCTGAATCATATAGGATCCGAATGAGAGCGACGAGCAGAGCTCTCATCTTCTGCATGAAAGAGGAATTCTTGAGGTACCCGACAGCACACACGCACACATTTGCTGAACCCATGAGTAGAAAGAACATAAACAGTTTATTACAAATTTGTAAAATAGTCAAAATATGTGCAGTAGATGTAGATGCACATGCATTGCCTCCCATTTTCGCCCATACATACATACATACATACATACATACATACATACATATATACATACATACATACATACATACATACATACATACATACATACATA